TTATGCATCAATCAATTGAATTTTTGAAGACAGCCATTAATTGTGGGGGATATCACGTCCGTAGATTTTATTTTTTTTAGAAACAGCAAAATATATATATATATATATATATATATATATATATATATATATATATATATATATATATATATATATATATATATATATATATATATATATCATGTGAGACCACTTGATTTTGTGAGACGGGAAGACCAAATCTTGACCACTCATCCTAAATAATCAAAGGCTAATATTAATTCAGATTAAACCATAAAATAGGCGGTGGCAATTTTGTAAATTAATGGAACTTTGGGATTAGATCAAGAAACGGAGGGGTATTAATGGAATTTTGCATTCTTTTTCTTTCAACACACAAAAACAAACACCCGGTACGAACCCTAAAACCCATTTGATCCAAATCTCGATCATCGTTCTACTTCCAAATCTCGATCATTGTTTCAGACTCTAATTCTGATTATACCTGAAATTCATCTTCCGATTATTACACGAAAACCACTCGATAATCAACTAGAACATTAAAAACATTTCGATTTTGAATTTGATATCGAATCAAATGGCTCATTCTACAGATTTTGATTCTGATTTTGTATCAACAGCTGTTCCAAGTAAGTATAATACTACAAACCTCTTGTTCTTACACAATAAACCTATCTGTTCTTATTATAGAAAGTTTTTTCACTTTAAATCGTTGTATGTATTCAATAAATGTGTAATAATCGAGATAGTTCACTAACGATTTATATGTCGAAGTCAGTATGTAAAGGAATATAGCATTATAAAGCATACAATCTAAACCTAAATCTCAGTGTGTGATTTATATAGAGTCTATGTATCTAAATGTTAACTGTACAGAGTGTTCTAATTATTCCCCATTTCATTTGATCTAAATATTCTTAATCAAAATCAGCAAAGATGTTATGTTATTCTAACTAATTGTTCATCATTTAATTAGATTTAGATCCATAAATTGTCTAATACTATAGATTTTGGTAACACAAATCTCTTATTATGATTGTAGTATATTGTTTAGCCAAAAAAAATCTTTGTATTCTAGTGAATTTTATGTTGATTGATAAATAGAAATTTGTTGTTATGTATTTATAGAACTGTGACCAGATTATATATCATAAACTAATATGAATTTTAATGGAATTTGATGTTATTGATGCAGCTAAAAAAGTGCAAACAAATGCAACTGTAAGAAAAACAGGGAAAGAAATTTATATCGATATAGGTATAAATTGTGATTACTTTTAGATTATATATTATAATTGCTTTTATTAACCTCTAAATGCTTTTAATAAATATTCTAATTGTTTTTATTTGATAATTTTCTTCATACAGATTCAGCAAGTCAAGATAGGGTTAAAAAATGTATGAACATCCTTTCTTTCAAATAATTCATAAAAAAACAAATGTTTGGATTTATTTTTCTAATTGATTTTAATTGTAAATCAAAAAAAAAAAAGACAAACTTATGTTGATTGATAAATAGAAATTTGTTGTTATGTATTTATAGAACTGTGACCATATTATATATCATAAACTAATATATTCTAATTGATTTATTTTTCTAAGTTAGTTATTCTGAATATTCTAATTTTGTTTTATCATGTATTCTAATTGATTTTAATTGTTAAATTTCATGACAAAAGATTTGCAAATTCTAATGGAATTTGATGTTATTGATGCAGCTAAAAAAGTGCAAACAAATGCAACTGTAAGAAAAACAGGGAAAGAAATCTATATCGATATAGGTATAAATTGTGATTACTTTTAGATTAAATATTATAATTGCTTTTATTAACCTCTAAATGCTTTTAATAAATATTCTAATTGTTTTTATTTGATAATTTTCTTCATACAGATTCAGCGAGTCAAGATAGGGTTAAAAAAGGTATGAACACACTTTCTTTCAAATAATTCATAAAAAAAAAAAAACAAATGTTTGGATTTATTTTTCTAATTTTGTTTTATCATATATTCTAATTGATTTTAATTCTTAAATTTCATGATAAAAGATTTGCAAATTGTAAATCAAAAGAAAAAGAAGGCAGATGAAGGAAAATCAAAGAAAAAAATTAAAAAAAAAAACGTTGTTACTTCTGAAAGCGACTCCGATTCTTCTTCTGATTCATCCTCACATCATAGAAAAAGAATTAAAAAAGGTATCAACAATCATTCTTTAAAACACTTAACAACATAAATTTTTTGGATTTATTTTTTTCGGTTGATTATTATGAACATTCAAGTTGATTAAAATAAATATTCTAATTTATTTCAATTTTTAAATTTCTTCATACAGCTAAAAATACAAAAAAGAAGAAAATACTTGAAAATAAAAAAAGACACTATGTTTCAGATTCTTCATCTTTACAGTCAGAGACATCCACAACAGAGAGTAATGAATATGGTAAAATATGTTGTCTTTTATAATATATATGTTGACATCCAATAAAAGTATATTATATTTTTCTAATAGAATAATTATTGATGCAGATAAAGTAAATAAAAAGAAAAAAAGAAAAGTCAAAAAACATTTCAAGCGCCACAAGAAATTAATCCATAATGATGTGAAGCACAAAAAGAAAAAACATGTTTCTGATTCTTCAACAGAATCAGAGACAGAATCATACACACATTCAACGGGTAAAATAATCTAAACTTTTTTTTCGTGAAATATGATTTTATACTTTACAATTCCAATATTATGGAACAATATAAATATTAGAGTGTTTCGAAGAATATTTTTCATAGACTATGTTTGACATGAATTACTTATGGATCATAATTGAAAATTCTTGGTATTTTGATGTGAAAGTATTTTTCTATTGTTTATTGATGTGAAAGTATGTTTCTATGATATTACACATTTTATATATTGTTATATCATAAATCATGTTATACTTGATTTTTTTGTTGTTTTACTTAGCTGATATAGGATTTTGCAAACATTTGAGTTTAATTTTTTATAAATAATATAATTTCAATAAATATCTACATTTTACTTAGATGATATAGTATTTTTGGATTAAATTCCGTAGAATATTCTGATATAATAAGTGTATATGTATAATATTATGTTTCGAATATTACTTTGTAATTAAATGAAATATGATTTTTGGATTTTGTGGGGTTACTAACATCTATGACTGATGTAATGAATTAGATGATGAATCTGATGAAGAAATCTATGTAAAAAAGAGAACCGGTGATAGAAAATATGTTGAAGGAGTGACAAAGATTAAAGAAGCAAAAAGGAAGAGGAATAGTAGGGACAATCGTGCAGCAATAAAAAAAAACAAAAAACCGTGAAAGAGCAAAAGACTGTGAAAGATATATTGAAGGAGTTACCTTCAATAAACACTAGATCAACACCTGGATTGATGACAGATGCTGTAAGTCCTTTGACATCATAACAAAAAGATTGGGTGAAACGGATGGGATTTAAAGCTTTTTGAAGATCAACATTAAGAGTATTCCCTTAAAACTTTGCCATTTTGTGCTTAAGCATTACGATGAAGGCACAAACAGTATTCTGATTAAAGGAAAAAGAATAAAGATCACAAAGGAAAAAATTCATAAAGTGTTTGGTTTACCCAAAACTGGAAAAAGCTTATTTGATTTGCACAAGGTTAGTGAAGATCATCAAGTGTTTGATGATGGATGAAGGAACTTGAGA